TTTCTTCATACTTTCCTTGGGAGTGTGATGGCATGGTGGAGATTCATGGACATTCGGTAGGTACTTTGAGCGTANTTTTGCCGGAGCATGACGATGCATACGAGCAGGGGGGCTATTAGATATATATACTCGTAGCATAGCATGGTGGGTGATATCTTACATATTCATGTAGTGACGAGTGCGGAGGAACAGGAAGTTTCTTCATACTTTCCTTGGGAGTGTGATGGCATGGTGGAGATTCATGGACATTCGTTAGGTACTTTGAGCGTGATGAGCGTGACCCGTGACTCCATGCCGTGACCGATTGACGAGCTGAAGCACGCCCCCGATGAATTCACAATACGTTTTACATCACGTTTTCCTACACGTCCCTACCCTACCAAGGCCCGTCATGGCCCAGCTGCTCTACACTCCCAACACAAAGAACTGAGCCACCGAATTATCGATCACAAGGTTCGTGGCGTGGGGAAGAAGGACATGACGCTGCACTTCGTGTGCCCAGTTGATATGAAGAAGGTACCGTGCGGCTACGGCGGCGAGGGCTATCGGTTTCTGGAGACGCGTGACTGGGTCAAGAGAATCTTCCCTTTGCTTCAGGTAGGATAAGGATATTCGCACTGGCCACCCGCACGCAATGTTCATGTGTTAGGTAGCCGGTCGCCCCGGTGGTCTAGTTGGTATCCTTGAAACCCTCTGGAGGTCAGATCAGGGGTTCGAATCCCGGCTTCAGCAAGCTTTTCTTGCAAAGTGAGTTTTTCTCTCGCTTCCGCTCCTGGCCGAGTGGATGGCGCTAGTTCGTGTGTACACAGAGGGAAGAGAGTGCTGAACTCTTCTCGCATAAAAAGTCGCAGGCAAAGTACCGCAGGAGGGGAGGATAGAGAGGGGCTCTCTTGTGTGACCACGGGTTGGACAAAACGGCACGAGTGCTGTGAGCGCTGATTTGAAGTGCAGAGAGCGCTGATTTGAAGTGCAGACAAAAATTATGTATTCTAGACTATAGTCTACTAGTATATGTATTTGCCGGGGTCTACGCTTCTGATACCCGCGTGTGTTTTTCTGTACTGAATGACGAACAAGAATTCGCCCCTAGCAGAGCATTGGGACCGGGGTGTAAGGGTCGAGCCTCGAAACGGGAGCGGTGATAACCTGTCGTGGATTTCCGTGCATATTTCTTCAACTGATTGCTTCTCAGGTGGCGGGGTGACCGAAGGTGGCCCTCACAGCAACATCAGCACCGGACGTGGATCTCTCGGACTTCCTGAAGACAACGAAAGATGGGTTGGTGGATGAGCTAGCCGACTGTACTCTTGACGAAACCGCGCTGCTTAGCGTTGTAGAGGGCGAGGAGGATAGTGGGGGCGACCTGCAAAGGATTACGCAGGCCTCGTACGAAGCGCTAAAGAAGTTCATGTAGAAGAGGAGCGCAGCAGGCGTGAGAATGCCAAGGACGGTGATGGCTTCATAGACTTCAGGGACAGAATGACACGTGTAAGGGACAAGAGGGGGGAGGAGGTGTGGGTTCGGAACGAAAACGAGCAAAAGCTGCTAGAGTCCATCTCGAGCACTGCACCGTCGCGCTAGATTGTGAGCTACGTGAGGTGCGTATCATTCTCCATATTTTCGCCACTCATCATATAGACTACGCGTTTGATGTGTCGAAACTAGAAGGAAGAGGATACAGACGACGATGCCGTGAAATATTGTTGAACCCCAAGGACAGACATTGGCCAAGGCCACGATCTTGTGTCTGCGCTCAGCAAGAATACATAGAGAGAGGACGAATGACGCATGAAATATTCCAGATGTTGTTGTGGATTGGTGGAAGTATTTGCCGACGCCGCTTGGAAGTCTTGTGCAAGCTCCGTTTTTCGACTATTTGTGCGTTTTGCGATGTTCGTCTCATGATGATCTGATTCCGAAGTTCTCCACGAAAGAGCTTGATGGAGGAGGGGCTAGTCTCGAGAGATTCTGCGCCGCAGAGTGCAGGGTGGGATAGTGAGATGCGTCTCCAAGTAGCCTTTCTCATGTGAAGTGTTCAGATTCATGTTACTCGAGACATAACGGCAGTTTGCTTTACCCCCGATCCATGTGACATTATCGCCAGCGTTCAACAGTAACGCATGGGGGGGTTAGACTAGAAGAGCTCGTAAATATTTCTTAGCGCATGATACTACAGAATGAAACGTTGACGTCCCGCGGCGGGTGGCTTACCCCCGGTGTGGTGACCCACGGTATCCCAAGTCCCGGTGCCGAGGAAGTCGAACATGTCGACTTTCTAGTTGGCGGCGGTGGCTCTGGCACCGAGTAATGCCGTTATTGAGATCGTGTAGCCCCCGGGAGCGACGGTGAGAGGTGGGAAGAAACATGAAATTCCAAATTCGTACTGTCCATTGTCGAGGTTGGATTGCGAGGGCCCGGAGGGAGAGGCATCGGAGCACGGAGGTCGCATGTTTTTTTTTTCCCATCATTGGACTCTGTCGTCTGCCTCTCTGGCCCCTATCCTCCACTTCTACTAGCTAGACGACCCAACCGGGGTCACATAGGAGGGGGGGGCTGGACCCCCTCCTGTGGTTCCTGCCTGAGGTATTGTTATCGCGAGAAGGTTACAGAAATCCCTTCCCTCGCGGCTTACGAAGTCGATTATGGTTTACTAACAACGAGCTTTGCAGCGCGTCGCTTTCATCCTAGACCAGGATGTTTTTAGACTAGTGCGAAAAAAACTCACTCTGCCGGGACTCGAACGCATGACCTGGCCCTTAGTAGGCTGCGAGGTTACCCACGAGACCACCGGGGCGACCGGTGCATGTGTGTTCACGCGAACCAAAGGGAGGGGTGTAAGAGGTTACCAAAGGGGGCTTGTACGGGTATGTCCTACCACTGAGAGCGAGACCGTTTGAGGAAACCTTCTACATAGTTGGTTGGCGACGACGAATTTTTTGCACCTGAAGTCCATGCGCAGTTGTAGCTGTTGTCGACAGGTGTCATGTCGAAGGAGAAACCGAGGGCAATCGACGCTCGCCGCTTGTCATGCCGATAATTTTCATTACGATACTTCATCATATCGGTCTTGATTGCGCTCTTGAACCGGTACCTTGAAAGCGGTCTACACGTAGACACGTACCGCTCAACATGAAAACAACGAACAAAAATATGTCGAGATATGCATGCACCCCTGCCAGAGGTTGCCTGCGTAGCCAACCAACTACGACAAAGAGACATCGGGTCACCCATCAAGTGGGATGCACATCGGCCTGGGAGGTGGCATTTCATGCAAGCTCGACGGATGTGGTACTGTGGGCAGTGCCTCCCTCCTCAGCTCCCTTGAACGCGGAGCACAACCCAAAACAGCACAAGGGGTAGGACAGCTGCGTTAGTGTGCGGCGGACAAGAAATTTCTGGTTCATCCACTTGTGATTCATTGGAACACTACTCTAGCAGTCCTGCCGGAAAACCTAAAGGACGTCGTTCGGCTCTTCGCTGCATCTTTTACGGCCGATAAACTAGAACGATGATACCCAACCAGCAGGGCTTCGGTGTGCTGCATCTGAGTCTTGGCTCCACACACGAATGAAAGAGTATATCTTTGGCGTCTCCCACATTTTTCGAGCTGCATCGATTGGCTACTAGAAGCATATATATTCGTTGCCCCTTCGCTTCCAGAGGGCATTTTGCCCTGAAGTGTGCACATATCGAAGACAGAATCTACTGGAGAAGCAGAAGCAGCAACAGTAGCGTCATAGGAGGGCATCGTGTACGGTGTCTACTCCCTGCAGTCGCCTCCCCAAACGTTTGTTCGGTAAGGATGGGGTCCCCGGAGATGACTTCGATGAAGTTGGCGACTATGCCGCGGCAAGCAGGGTCGTGGGGGCGGCCATGGGAGCTAAATCACCGTCTGGAGGCAGCACGAAAGAGTGAAATTACAAGCATGCGGGAAACCACGGTGTTTATACAACACGTAAGCTAGGTCATCAGTGAAGCGTGTGCACAACCAGCGGATAGTGTCGGGGCGAGGGAGGGGGAGGCAAAAGTGAAGCAGCGAGACACTATCATCAACAACACGAATGACAAGCTGTCAAATCGAGAAGAAGACACGTTACACCGCAAAACATAGAGCAACAACAAATGGAGGAGGGCGGGGCACATCACAAAGTGGGACATTACTCATTTCCCTCCGATACTCCTCACAATAAGATGCATATGACATGCATTCCAACGGCACGAAGTGCAAAAAAGAATATTCGCATCACCTACATTATTAGCACTTCTTAGGAAAGTGGGTACACCTGAGGGGTTGTCACCGGCGGAGACGCAAGCACAGGAGCGATTGCCGGGCACCAGCAAAAAAGCATAAGAGCAACAAAACCACACGTCGAGAGTTTGTACGGCTGGCAGGGTGGAATTCACTCACCGGCTGAGGTGCGGCCACGGGAGCAGTGGGCTCAGCGACGGGCCGAGGCGAAGCTACCGAAGAGGCAGGAGCAGCGGTAGGCGTGGCGGGTGGCAGTGATCTGCGCGAAGTAGAGGTAACTCACCTGTTGTTCATTCAGAAAACCCTCCCGGGTGGAACAAGGCGATGTAGATCGGTGTTGTCGGCCTGGGGTTTCATATCCAGAAGTATAGTCGATCTATCGACAGCGAGCACGTGCGTATATACTTCTTCGCGACGCTGAAGAGGGGGAGCGAAGCATCGGTGGAGGGTGCCCTGCATATTTCGCCACAGTGGAGGCGAGTGCGTGGTGCAAGGAATCGCAACTCCAGCTAGTCACCGCCTAACCTCAAACACAGTAGAGGAGAAGAGTGCGACACACCGTATCGCACAGGAAGGCATAGTCTAAACACAGCTACTGCATAGCCGTTTGCGGCGATTTGCGGTTGCTATCTCCTCACAGAGTTCATTCCCACCGAAGAGCGACCTAGGCCTATTGCAAGGACACCAACCTAGCACCTGATCTTGCTACCCACGGTAAGATCTACAGTAGCACTGCATCCAAGCCTGCCTACCTACCAGTGTGTGTTGTAGGAGACGAGTGAGAGCGAGTGAATGAGGAATGTTGTTTCGTGTCGAGCTTGTTGCAAGATAAGTTCTGTAATCTTTGAGGTGAACATGCATTCAGCCAAAGAAAGTCCGTGCGAGACATCACCGCAGCCGAAAGGGGTAGGATTTAGCAGTGAGTGAGTGGGTGGAAGAAAATTGGCTTGTCCTTCCTACCATTTTCTACTCAACAAACAGCAGTGTAAGAGATACAAAACTGTCGCCTCATCGGAACAACACCGTTGCTCTAAGAAAATATTCCAAAGTCGAAGATCCCCAAGATGATCTCAACCGTTGTGAAGGACTGGACCACGGTGGCGACTACGCTCACTGGCGACTCCCTCACCGACTACCTCTACACGCCGAACGACAACGAATTCCTCATCCGCGTATACACCGACGACCCCGGCAGCACACAGGTAAGCCCGTCCAAATGAAAGAAGCCGGCGCGGGTGACAGGTTGCCAATCGTGTCCCAATCGCCACCCGTGACGGCTCTGTTGTAGATGTCGACGAGCCAGTTGCTCCCGACGCCCTTGGGCACCAACGCGGAGAGCTCCACTGTCACGCTCTTGGGACGGAAACGCAGGCGGGGATTTCATCTTGTAGGTCTCGTCGCTTTGACTGTTGCTCCGTGTTACACCCTCGACCACGCCAGGGTCGTTCTGCACGATATCACTGTCCTCTGAACCACCAGCAACTGTTCGACCCTGTTTCTTCACTCCTGGCCACCGTGTTCATTCCATCTGTCATATCTAAACTGTCACTCCCCTTGGTTCTTGAAGGTAGCTCCGCATACGACACATACCAGGAGCAGAAAGAACCAACGTCATTCGAGTGGACACAAAAGAAGTCACTCCTTCGTGGATAAATCTTCCGTAGAACAACTTTCTCACCGTTGTAAAAATAATTATTGTTTGCATTCACCACATGTCTGCGCTTCTTCATTGAATGCCTTCTACCAACACAGCAGCAGCTGAAACACAGTCTACATGAATGTTTCATAGCACGAGTGTCCTTCTCGAGACTCCGTACAATATTACGTATGGCAACTCGACGAGTATCGTCGCGTTGCCTGTCTGAAGCTTTCGATTTTTCAGCGGGTAACAATCAAGATAGACAGACACCACGAAGATGCCCGATGAGCAGACAGGAACCCAAAAAACACAGCATGAAAACTAGAAAAATAAAGTAGCGAGAACAAGGACGACAAATTATCACACAACACATTTGCGACCTCTTCATTTTTCCCCGCCGAGTGGGTGCGCACAACTTCTGACAACCAAGCGTTGAAGAAATACGTGCACATACTTGCGGCTGATGCACCGCTTCGTCGTTCCCTTCCTGCCCATCGGCAGAGGGCGAGACGCACGATTGTTGTACGGCGTGCTATCGACGAACACGCTCTTCTTTCTGGATGGATACACAACCAAATTACACAACACGGGAACGAAAAAAGGGCTCCAAACCAACTCAGCACAATCAACAGCCCCCCCCGTCACGACCACGCGGAATCTTCTTCCGCGTCCACTCGCTCTGCCGTGTCTGTCTCACGTTCTGATCCCAACAAGAGTAATGCGGCTCTACATGCACAGGCCGGTTCTCCTCTACCCATCATGTTGGGCACATCCATCTTCTACGTGTAGGTTGGACTCTCCATTTACCCATCTTGTTGAGCACGTGGATCTTCTCGCGATACGCACGCGATAGATTCCAACATACTGCAGTTACGCTGCAAAGGCGCCGACAGTTCCTGTCTCCTCCCGCCCCCAACAGTTCTGATCCCCATCGCTCTCTGCCATGAGGTATGACCTGCCCTCCCGCCCCTCCAAAACATAATCCGTCTTAATCGCACCCTCGCCTGAAGCAATTGATCCCAAAGTTATTACGATTACTACCGTACTGAACACTACCGGGGCTTGTGTGGATCGAAGTTTTGATCGCGGTTGGTTGGGGGGGGAGCGCCCATACCTCTTCGTCGTCTTCGTTAGAACTTGAGCCGTAAGAACAGGCGGCGGCGGCGGCGGCGGCGGCAACATGCGTGCGTGAAGCGGTAAACGATTATGACGTTGATTCGTTTTTTTTTTCTGGATATACCTTACTAAAGAAGCCATTCACTAAAAAGCAATGCCGGACACGAATAGACAGTAGACGCTGCCTCCGGAAAAAAAAAAAAAGTACCCTCCCCGGCTCAACCGTCATTGCCCAAGAGAGGAGCCGTCAGTCACACAAGGGCTGTCACACAGGGCATGCTTTCCCTTGCCCAGTACGCGCGGGGTGCATCTATGCGGCCCAGCGGAAAAATGACCCCGCAAACACACGAACCTCTGGTCGAAAAGATTCTTATCATGTCGCGGTGTGCCACCGAACGACTTTGCAGCAAAACCGGGCCCGCGTCCACTCCTGCCAGATTTCTTCAAATTCCAACTCGAGACCTCTTCCAACATGCAGCAACTAGTACTCGTCAGGCAACTGCTTGGCTCATATTACAACACTCGAAGAGCTCAACAATCATGCATCAACCACCGCGTTGATCACACCTCACGAGATACAGGGCCCTTCGACGCATAAGGAGAGGGTGAGAGGGCACTACAGGGTGGGAAGGCACTGCAGGGTGAGAGGTCACTGCACCAATTGCCTCCCACGAGCCCGATGCCGCATATCCCGCCCGTCTTCTCGGGAAGATGCTGCCCTTCCCCATCCCCTCCGCCTCTTACGAATAAGCAATCCCCGTCACCGCCACAATTGGACGCTGATCACCGATGGAGGGTGTGCACCCGCGGACTGCCCTCGCAGATGGACCCGATGCGAACACGCTGCCGTGTTGCCGCAGCCGAACCGCTGTGCTAAACATAAAAAGAGTCGCCGACGCTTACCGCCCGCCGCGAAAGGCAGCCAAAACAAAAATACAAAGGAGTGGGGCGGGAGATGGTCTCAACAAAGCCACCATCCATCGCCATCAATGCAACTTGCTCGGCTGTCGGCGGTGGCAGCTAGTTTCGGTCACTTGGCGGACACGAGTTGCACCTTGCCGGTCGCCGGAGCCCCTTGTCCCACTGCCCCCACTGCAACAGACGCTTCCTTCTCCCCCGGCGGCAGTGATGTTTCCTTCTCTCCCTCCCCTTCTCCCTCCTCGTTGTCGTTGTCTTCCCCCTCGTCATCAGCAGTGCCCTCCATCACCTCTCCCAGACTGACAAGCGGCCTCCCGCGGGCCCCCCCGCCCCCCCCCCTCCCGCCCGCCCCCCCCCTGGGGTACCCGGCAACGCCGCCGCCCTCTGCGGTGCCCCCTCCGCCGATCGAGTCGACAGTGCTAGTGTTGGTGCTGACGCCGCCGCCGCCGCCGCCGCTGCTGCTGCTGTAGCTACTGCCGTTTCTCGCGTCGCCGCCCCCCCTTGACAATGATTTTGCGTCCCCCCCCCTAGAGAAGGAAGACGAGGAAGGGTCCTGGCGTCGTTCCTGGCTGAGCACGCGCACGCGCTCCGCGGCGATGTCGGGCCTGTCGAGCAGGCTGTGGAGCGACTTGGCACTGGTTACCATCGGCGACGACGGCTCCACGCTCTGCATCAGCTCCGCGTGCAGCTGGTTGATGATCTGTGTTGTCGTTAGGGACCATCGTCGGGACGAAAAAAAGGGCACGAATACGTGTGTGTTGAGACGGAAAACGATACCAGCGAGCGGCAACCAGAGGGAGGGAACTAGGCGTGAAGTAGGGGATTCGGGAGGGGGGG